CATTTGGGATTGCGTATATAATTTCATTATCTGACCATTTGATTGATTTTAGAGAGAGAAAATAGTGAAAGTCAAACCTGTATCATCTGCTGGACAACCAAGACGCCGTAGTGTGACGTGACACTGATGTTGTTGCTGATAGGCGTGGCGACGAAAGTCGCACGATGCACGACGAAGCCGCAAAGGATGGTTGAAACGTCGAGACAACAGTTATCCTTCTCTCGCCGATCTGTTGTCGGCCTACGATGGGCAGGTCCTAGCGGTGCGAGGCCACCGACACGTTGATTGCAGCGGCAGGAGTGCCGCAGTCGACGATGATATTAGCGACGGTATGCCGCAAGCGAACTGGTATATACGGCGATGGGCCGCAGGCGACTCTTGCTACTCGCGGCGATAGGCCGTAGACAACTTGACGGAAGACGGCTTCTGAAGATACTCGACTGTCCCACGACGGATGTACCAAGGATTGGCTTGTTTGATGCGGCCCACAGCAAACACCGATGGATAACGATGGTACTATTCACCAAACTCGAAGCCAAGCATGCAGGTTGTTGTACGCAGGGTGACACATCGAAAGGATGATGAAAGCGATGCCACGTGGTGGGGAACTATTCCTATCCAACCGTCCATTGCTCGTCCACTGACTCGGGGTTTGTGACGTGTAAACCTTACGGATCGGCAAGACCGGTGAGTGAGCACGGTCTGAAAGGGCGACTGAGGCCGTTTCGCGCGACGGTTGCGTCTTATGGCTCAGGGCGATTGATGTTGGCCCCTACGGACTGAAGCATGCGAAAACAGATGAGGAGTGTCGGAATTCCTTTGGCTCAGGACCTTGGCTGGGGTCCCTACGGATCAGATCGGACCGGTGAGCACGGCCAAGCGTACGACGAACAAATTCGAAGTCTTCGAACACTCTCACTCTGCGTCCTATGGCTCAGGGAGTTAGCGTGGTCCCCTACGGACTACTAATGGCAGTGCACTAAGCGAACACTATGTGTCCACGAGGTGCCTCTCCTTCCTATAGGAGGTTAGATCACTAGCACTAGCTTGGTCTTCCCGCGTGGCGTTTTCGGTGTGGAGAAAAGTCTCGAACCTGCGAATTTAGACCGAACAAAAAACCTTCGTTCGAAGGTTTAAACAACCTTCAAACGAACCACGAAATCGTCTTACCACTGGTTGTCAGCACTACTAATCTCAAAGGTATTTCCTACCTGATGCTTTCTATATGCAAATTTTAGGATCTTTCTGAAACCGATCTGGTTTTACAAAAGAGGAGCAGTTCTTTAACGAGAATAAAAATTAGGCTATTTAATAATTGCGCCTTGTGCCACTTCTGGCTTTCACTCACTTTTAAAAATAGTTTAACTTTTTCTGACCCAGTACAATGGGGAGTACCATTCTTCTGTTTTACTTCACTATCTAATACACTGAACTGCTCCGACTGACGATCGATTGGCGAAAAAGGCCTGAGTTTTCTCAGCTTATTCTGAGCTGCCCACAATTAGAGGCGGTTATACTCGCGACACAATGTATTCACTGCTGCTCGTATTGTCACAGAGTAAACGGGATAGAGTTTGTTGCATGCTTCATGTCGCATCCAACATCGAGTAAATATCGCACGATCTTCGGTTCTGTCTCGACTAACTTTTAGCTGTTCAGAATTATGGTTACAACCTAATCCAGCCGCCTTCTTTTTTTGAACCGTCAGTATACATTTTGAAATAGGCTTTTTATATTTTTCATTAATAATCGCTCTGTAAGCAGCGAATACTTTAACTGAGTTTTCACCCGCTTTTACTATACGTTGAATAGACCAATTGTCGTCAAGAGCTTGATGGTCCCATCGTTGGGATGATCTCAGCACTTAGAAAAAGAAAACGAGTAACGAAGAAATTTTTAAGCTGCTTAGGCATGAAAAGGGTTCAAGATTTCTGAAGTATATGACATACTGGATTAAAAAAATACAATGTCAAACTTATCAAATTTCAATTTCTTTGATTTTTTTTATGCTTGTGCTTAAAAAAAATTGCTTTAGACTTAAGTAGACAAATTTTCGAAACTCTGGGACAAAGACTTTTTTATGACTTGAAGAAATTTCCAACACTCCAAAATAAATTGGATGATTTTTCTTGTTTATCATTTTATCAAGTCAAACGTAGTATTGATTTTAATTCTTCTTATTTGGCTTTCTTACGTCCCCACTGAGACCTTACGCCAGCCCTCAAAAAATACATTGGTGTAGATAGAAAATGTATATGGGTTGCATTTTTGTATTTTGCTAAACTACGGTTAAATAAAAACTCGCAAAGATGCTATTCAATCAAATTGCGTCAAGGCAACTACATTAGGTATATGTAGAAATCTCCATCTCTTCGTTGAACTTTATGTCCGGAATTCAGCTAATTCACGGAGCGTTAATTCTTGTCCATAAAATATAAATTCATCATTCAAGATTCCATCAGATTCAATTAGCTGGAAATTTTTGAATACTTCCTGGACAACCTACAGTCTTGAAAGAAAATTTGATTTTTTTTTATAAAGTTGGAGATCCTCAGAACTTGCTCAACCTGAATTCTTGGAAAAATATCCAAAGAAATTTACTAATATTTTTGTCATGGAGATCTTTTGAATATTTCCTGCTGTCTAGGAAGGATATTTGAAAGAATATCCTGTAACTTATGCAACGGTTCCTGAACATCTACAAAACTCCCTAAAGTTTTACAAAATATCCTCCAATATTCCAAATTCTATATTTGTTCCATCTCTCTTCTAGTTCTACGAAGATCTCTGACACCCCACTCACCATCCCTCTCCAAAGGGGGAGATTGCTAAAGAGAGATGATAAAACTGATTTGTACCTTCCTAAAGTTGTCCTAGCTCACTGTCTACTCTCTATATGCAATTTTCACACTGCCGTACTCTAAACGGAACTATCAATTCTACACTTTCATCTCCTCATCTATCGTATAAAAATTACCACTTTAGTCTGTTATTTGAGGTTAGCACCTTCAACTATGTAAAATCGTTGACTTCACGCAGAAGTAATCAAAAATCAACTTATAGATATTTTGCAAAAAAATCTGTTGCAGCCTCAACTCAATGCTAGAAGCCTTTTAGTGGTAAAATTACGTTTATTTCTGTTAATTATGATTTTACATTGTTTAACATTTTAATTTATTAGCCTATCAGCGAAGACAACAAATCAAGAAGACTGGCAACTCTTCCATTTTCTCATACGAACGCTATGAGACAGGTACAATCGCGTCATCTGGTATCTGATATTCTAATTTACGTATTCACGTTTTTCTACTAGTCTACAGAATACCCCTTGGGAGGTGTGTTATGTTTGAATTGAAAAAAGTGATAACCTACCTAACTACGAGTATAAATTAGCCTAACGTGCTTGATCACGTATGATCTGATGAGTTGATCTCAGACAGGTGTCTCTGAACCTTTCCAAGATAAAACTCTCCGTTCTTCTAAAGTTTGAATTCCAGCCAGGAGGTGGATCTCAGATTTTCTAGTTCGCGGGGGACTGTTTAGGATCATCCTAAGGATCTTGTTCTGGATCCTTTGGAGTTTGAAGTGATGGCATTTGGCGCAACTCTCCCATATTGGCATACCGTACTCGATTAAGGGAAGGATTATTTGTTTGTAGACAGCAAGCTTATTTTTCAGGGACAGGGTAGATCTCCTATTGATGAGTGTATACAGGGATCTTATCAGGACGTTACACACGTGTTAAGCCGAGGTAGACTTCCTCTTTCGACCATTCCACCACTGTACCGTTCAGGCCGATCTTATTATTCTCCGACGGAACAAGTCTGGGAGATTTAGAGTGTGGAAAGATGATGACCTGGGTCTTTGCCGCGTTGATACAGATCTTTTAGCTGTTGAAATATTCAGACAGGACGTCCAGGCCTTTCTGAACTTTGGCAGTCAGAGCTCCGATGACCCTACCCTTGTAGACGATGGATGTGTCATCTGCGAACACCATGGCAGATATTTTTGAAACAGACTTGTTCCGTCCGAGAATGTTTGTTACTCGAGTCAGCTGGTGGATGGTCGAACGACTTTTCCGAAAACCAAACTGTTCTTCGACTAACAAGTTGTTTTCTTCGGCACATGTATTAGGAGCCGGTAATAGACTGCTCTTTCGAAAAGTTTTGATAACCCTGAGAGAAGGCTGATTGGTCGATAACTTGAAATGCTAGAAGCCCACTTGAATTATCGATTTTATTTTAGTCTGAAAATTACTTTAGTGTGAATATTTGACAAATGCTAGACTGGCTCAAAATAAGCTTTATTAGTAGTTTCTTGTCGGTAATATTCCTTCAACATGCTAAAACTGTTCATTGATGACCCTTCATAGAGCCTCAAGAGAACGGTATATTCTTAGTGGTTGTTGACAAGGGCGCTCATACCATCCCGATAGGGTGCGCATTTTACCCCAATGGTTTTATTTCGGTTACTAAACCAACATTATTTAAATCTTCTTTCATAAAATTCAAAAGTTTGCTTTTAAGGTGATTCTTTGTAGAGTCCGAAATGGCCGTTACGTAGGCTATATATACACTTCCACTTCGAATTTTCAATTACACAAATCTCTGAAATCAGTGCCAAATTTCACCTGAAATTGCTACTTCATGTAGGCTGCAGTGCAGCAAACGTGGAGTAACAATTTGAATGTTGCACATGTCGTATAGGCTTATATGTGTGTACTTAATGTTTCGAAGTGGTTCCGAGAATAAGGATGTCGCAGCGAATCACCTTAATATACAAGTTATATTCATGACTTAAATAGAGTCCCAAACTATCCATTTGGTTAAAAATCATTCTAATTTTGATGATCTGATTTGATGATGATTTCCTTAAGTTCGCCAATCTGTCTGACCTTGATTTTGGCTCATACTTGCTCAATGATTCCATTCAACATTGTGGAACAACATACAATCCATCTCCTAACACGTACCCATGAATCGTCGCTTCTTCCCGCACAGGTTTCGACTACGTCATCAAGCGGCCACCGCAGGCCAGGGTTTGCTTCGGATCCACCATCAAGAGGGACGTGGTTCCCCTGAAAGGACCCGCAGTGAGCTCCATCATGCGACGGACCATGCCCAAATCGGCCGGAGAAAATCTTGCTCCTGGAGCGTACAACATTACCTACTATGACAAACCATTCCATCCGGCTCTGAAGGCGGTCTGCAGCAATCGAGGGTACGGTTCACTTTCGGCGACCACCATTCGGTTCAAATTCGACGAAGTTAGCAGCAGCCCGGGAGTGGGAGAGTACGACACCACCAAAACCAAACCGGCGAAAGTTTTGAGCCAACCATTCGGAGTGAATGTTCCTCGATGGAAGGAGAGACCCATTGCTGCTGTGCCCGGGTAAAAGTGGGGTTCATGGTCAAATGTATAGAGAATAATTTGGTATGATTGGAATTGATCGTTTCAGTCCCGGAACCTATGTGACCAAGCAACGTAAGGACATTAGGATGCAATCGTTTGGAGGGAAAATCAAAATCATTCCAGCGACGATGACAATCTGCAAGACGGACAATTTCGACCGGTGCTACCACTGCGAACAGAAACCGGACGTTGACTACTGGAAGAGCTTCAAGAGCGATCGAACCCTCTGTCGACGGTGCATGGAGAAGGAAATCGACGATGCCAAGTACAAATCGAAAACGAAATCCGTTATGATGAAGCAGTTGGAAACGTTGAGGGAGTTCAAGGTGAGTTGAAGGTTATAATTACTACCCTGCTTCCTTCATCAACGGAATTTAATCTGATTGCAGCGCATTCGGCACTGTTCGTATTATCACAAGCACGACAAAACAACGGCGGCAATCCAGTTCGTAAGCAATCGAGATTTGAAACACAAGTTTAGAACCGAAAACTATCTATCAATGTTCGAATAAAGACACTTTAAGCTGATCCCGGGTGAATTTCTTTACCATCTATCCGATCGAAGTCCTATCCGCAGTGAATTGTTTTGTAGCGTTTAGCAAATGTAGCCTTTATTTCCTAGATAATATCCAGCGAATACTTTCGATTACTCTATCTCAACGGGTGAATTATGTATAATGTAGTATACGTATATTATGTTAATGCCGCACCATTGAAATGCTGCGTACGTATAATAAAATGTAATGCGTTGGACAGAACGAGCTGCGGCAAAATTGTCGTAAAAGCATTATTGTGATATTTTATTGATCTTAAGATCTAAATGTGTATAGGCAGACAAAAAGTTCGAACAGTGAAAACTTACTTATCATTTACCTTCATTGGCTCCCCTTCCGGTGCTTCTCGCTTGCTCCGATGTTCGGTGGATTCTTGACTGGAGCTAGCCCCCGCCGGTGTCGCGTCATCGCCATCGGAAATAGTCGCCCTCTGCAGTGCCGATGAAATAAGCTTCACCTTATCCAAGGTAGACCCACCCCCCTCGGCAGACTCTTCACTCATATCTGCATCCGCACTGGTACCGCCGGATGACTCACTGTCCGGTAAATTCGCATACGGATTGCTCATCGGAGTGGACTCCGAGGTGGACATAACCGGATTGATCAAATTCTTGAGAATGAGCGGATTGATCAGCGTGTCCAGATTGTGCTCCTTGAGTAACTTTTCCAATAGCAAGTGCTGTTCAGCGTCGATTTCCAGTGTTGACTGCTGAGTGGAACGATCCGAACATCCGGTCAAACTCCGCTCGGCAACATGATGTTCCGAGGACATCGTGTACGAACAAGTGTTCGTGGTACGTGTCTGCTGTCCCGTTCCAGCCCCGTTCGGAAATTGGCTGTTACGCTTTTGGCCGGAACTGTCCTCCAGCGGATCCACCCACTCTTCGTCCTCTTCCTCTTCCGCTTCGGTATTGAGATCCTGTTCGAATTCATCGTCCGGATCGACGTTTTCGTCACCCGTAACGTCGAAGAGACGTGCCTTCAAGCGTTGGGTGATTTCCTCGAGCTCGGTGAACTTGCGTTTCAGCGCCCGGCTGAGGGAGGCGTTTCCGGCGTCCAGCCCACCGCATTCGACATCTATCGACAGCGGGATTTGGAAATTGACACCCTCTTCCAGACCTTTGTAGATGGTGACGTTCTCCAGCGGTTGGATGTTGACCTGATGGAAGGATGGATTTTATTAGTACGATACGACCATTATAACCCAGCAGGAATGGATGAAGATTTTGTAATTGATCGGAAACGATTTTGAGAGGTTTTAGACACCCCTCCCCCGCGTAGACAATCATCCAAATTTATTTATTTTCCGAATATTTTGAGATGAGAATAGGGGAAATGCAGGTAATGTCGGCCTAAGTGTCCCTAATTTGGGCCCATACATAAATTCAGCAATCGAATAAATTTTCAATTGCGACCAAAAATATCCATTAGTAACGTCCCATTAACGCGTTCATCTAGATAAAATTGATAAATAGCATATTTTTAGCACTGGGCCCAATCTTAGATCCATAGACCAACATTAGAGACATTTCCCCTATTCTCAATTTTGGTAAAGAAGAGAATAAGAGGGGAAGTATCCGATAAACGGATTCGATGGGGATGAAAAAACGAAACCCAGTCCTTTTCTGCAGCAGGAATTTTTCGTCATTACCCAACAAAGATAAGAAAAATAAAAAAAAACTGCTCCTAAAACTTCTCAAAAGAAATTCAAGTCCGAACAAGGTTTGCTAGCTTTTTCGGACATTGTGGAATTCATATTAATTATGTTCAACATACAAGATCCGCTTCTTTCTTCTTCTTTCTCAAGCGAGCTGTCTGTTTGACAGCTCTAGATTAGGGCCAGTGTCTGGACTATATGCCCTCCGAGAAGTTTAACGTCGGTAGGGACGGTGTTTCCTGTTTAGGATCATTTTATAGATCCAATTTGGTTATTCTGATGAATTTGACTACTTCCTTAAATAGTGATTCGTTGCGAGTTTTGAAAAGATCCGAAAGCGTTGCAAATCTATTGTCGAAGGAAAACTGCATTCGTAGCATGCCCAAACGAGGACAGTGAAGTATCAAGTGTTCCGATGTTTCCGGCTCTGCACAGATTTCGCAATCTGAGTCATCTAGTATTTTCATGCGAGTTAACCAGTATTTTGAGTAATCGTGGCCTACCATAAGTCGATTGATCAGTTTTATATCACTTCCTTTCATATCCACATCTTTGAACCATGATGCAGTGTAAAATTCTGGTTGTGAGCTGAAGAAGTTCTTTCCTTTTTCTTCGGAATACGATTCATACCACCGACGTGTCCTTTTTTCCATCATTGTCTTCACATTTAGGAAGGCATCTTTAAGCAGAATTTTGTTATGTAGCACATTATCCGAATTTGCATCATTTTTAGCCAGCATATCGGCCGTCTCGTTTCCACTGATCGAAACGTGGCTTGGGATCCACTGTATTGACATGTTCCATCTTTGGCAGCAGGTGAGTATATCAGCCAAAATTCCTTCCTTTGTCTTTGATTCGATAGCTGTGATCAACATGATGCATGCTGATTTTGAATCAGTGTATATTACGTAATTTTGAAGGTGCTCCTGTTCGATTATGCGAGTGGCTTGTTGGATAGCAATTAGCTCGGCAGATGTAACACTCGTTTCTCTTGAGAGCTTGAAACAAACTCTTCTTTTGATGTTCTCGACAAAAACACCTATTCCGCAAATCGTACCCTCTTTGGAGGCATCGGTGAATATCCTACCTTTTCCTTTATTGCGACCGTTCATTACGAAGAGCGCCAGCTGCTTAAGCTTCACAGGATCGTTGTTCTTCTTTGCTGTTTGTAAGTCCTCCAGATAAGGGTTGATTGATACTTCTGTATCAGCCGAGTTAGTTAACGGACTGATTGCTTCGAACAATTCTTCATTGGTCCAGTATACTCTCTCAAGATATGTGAACGTATCCCACTTTTCCACATCTTCAGGCAACGTAGTATTTTTAAGTTGCTTAGCAATCACATCGTCACTGGTGACATGCCGGGCAATTTCACGCATGGTAACATACTCATGACGAAATTCCAGCGGTTCCTGACCACTCAAAGCTGCTAGAGCGTTAAGTGGTGTTGTTTTCGTTGTTCCAGTGATTTTTCGTAAGCCTTGGTTGTTGATGACTGACATTATTCGTCGATTAGAAGGTTTTGCGTTGTTGAAAATCGAACATCCGTACTCCATTATGCTTCGACACAGTGCTATATATATATATCCTTGTCATCGTATCGGGGTGAGCACCACTTTTGGCACCACTTAAGATTTTTACCATGTTGAGCCGTTGTTGGATTTTTTCCCTTACTTCTCTTATGTGAGCTCCAAAGCTAAGGTAGCGATCGATGGTTATTCCTAGATATCGGTGATTCCTCACAGTCTCAATTTAAGTTCCGTTGATAGTGATGTTTAATTCCTTATCATTATTTTGGAAAAGCAAGGCTTTAGTCTTTACCGCATTCACAGTAAAGTTCAAACATTCTGCCTTTTCGGAGAACTCGTCTAAATATTCTTGAGCTACGTACGGTGTTTAACAGTTCTAGATTTTTAGCTCTAACCAAGATTCCAAAGTCATCCGCATACTGAACGAGTATGACTCCATCCTTCTTGATATCATGTAGTTTCGCGGTGTATGCGTTGAAAAGCGTTGGAGACAATACATCTCCTTGCGGAAGTCCGTTGCTTATTGTTCTACTCAGAACCTTTTCGCGAATATGCAGTGAAACTTTTCTATTTTTTAAAAAGCTGGAAATCCACATGAGGATTTCGTGTGACACTCCCATACCAGATAGAATTACCTCTAACGCGTCTGTTCTAACTGCGTTGAACGCGTTAGAGAGATCTATGCATATCAGACCTGTTACCATGTGGTTCCTTTTGCTTTCTTTTATCCAGTTTGTTACGAACGATATGCATGTATTGGTTGAAAGCCCCTTTCTAAACCCGAATGAATTTTCAGGTAGGATAAGAGTATTTTGTAATTGCTCCAGCACTGCTGTATTTGCCACTTTGGTCAGTGTAGGGACCAAGGAAATCGGTCTTTTTCCCGAGGGAGTGCTTTGGTCGCGTCCTGGTTTCGGGATGGCTACAACCTTAATATTTTTCAAGGAGTCGTCCAAACAACCTCTTCGCCACATTTCGTTGATGTTTCTGATGATGGTCTCCGTTACATCGGGCTGTAGACTACGAATCATCTCGTAGGTCAAATTGTCTTCTCCTGGAGCAGATTTTTTCTTCTTACTGTCAAGAATCCTGTACCAGTTGTTTTTGTCCAAAAGCGTAGTTGTGCACACTAAACCTGTTGTATATCCTAACTGCGGGTCATTACATCCGAAGTGAGTGTCCAAAAAGAGTTGTGCAGATGCTTCATCATCGAAGATAATGTTATTTTCTTTTTTGTGCGTCCTTTTACCAGTCAAGCGTCCAACCTTTTGCCACAGCTCCTTTGATGAGACGAAAGGCCCAACCTCATTGGGTAGTTCTTCAAATTTATTCCTGATTTCTTCTCTTTTCTTCCTCTGGAAAAGCGCAGCCTTGCGTTTAAACTCTAGCAGGTTTTCCATACTGGCTATCCGGTTGAAATTTTTCCTGGCCTCGTTTTTCTCTTTCCATGCCGCATCTACATCGTCAGACCACCAAAACTTTGGTGATCTTCTATCCTTCTTCTTGTTTACCTTATAAATCCTTTTCACGCATTTTTGAAGCTCTTGAACAGATCGAACCTCAGCCGTATCCAACTTTGATATACACTCATTTATCGCCTTTTTATCGTAAAAATAGCCAGATTGAATATTTCGTGTTTGCATCCAACATATTTTAACACATTTATGGTGACTGCCTCATCCCAATGAGTTTACTAAATCGGTTGAACATAATGAAATATCGATAGCAGACGAACGGTGATTCAGCTGCAGTGGAACGTATGTTGGGGATCCGTCATTTAGTATTAACAAGCCACTCTGATTCACCTTTTCCATCACGATCTCACCTTTTTTGTCACATGTTCCATCACCCCATCCAAAATGGTGAGCGTTAATGTCACCGCCAATGATAATTCTCCTCAAATTTCTCAGGCTCGTGAAGATAAAGTGCATATCGTTTTCGAATTCAGCCACCGTAATGGACGGACTGACATAGACAGCTGTTACAACAATATCGAGATAGTTGACATGAATACTGACCGCTTGAGTCAGACGTGACATGCCTGTCAGCGGTATTCTAGTATAGCTCAAGTTGTTAGTTAACAAAATTCCTGCTCCTCCATATCCATCGTCCCTCGAATGAGGAATAAAATGAAAGCCGGACATATTGTTTTTATTCGAATCCTCAAAGTTTTCCTGAGTCCATGCTTCAGAAAGTATAGCAATAGAATAATCCGATCCTGTCATTACTCTGTGGATTTCTGCTTTGTTTTTAAAAAAAACTTTGGACATTCGATTGTAGAATTTGAATTCTATTCGAAGCCATTTTATTTATTGTGTAAATGCTTGGTTAGTTAGATTTAATACCACTGTGTTAGCGAGATTGAAATGCTTTTTCGTGCACATATTGAACATGTTTTTCACGTCTTCTCGTTGGCCCAACATTCCAACGAAATCAGAATAAAAGCTCATCATAGCTTCTTGGTGCGTTCTGTTCGAAATTTTGTGAGCTTCTTGCATCATAGCTTCCCAGCGTTCTGTTTCTGTTACCTTCAAAGGATTTTGCAGTGCAGCTCCTGATACACTACCATTCTGTGTACTCTTGATTAACTCATTCCTCTGTTCCGTGTTTCTATTTGCATTGTTTGATGTCACCAGTCTGGGTTTCTTTCCTTGTTTTTCTTTCTCCTCCTTCCGAATTTGTACTGCAGCCTGAATAGCCTTTCTCTCCTGGTTCGTTTTGATCCACTGCTCTCGTAGGGGATCTTTCCAAGTGTCGAAAAGTTTTCCTCAATGGTTGGAAACTCGTCCAGCTTCATAAGTGGTTCGTAAAGATTTTGGGTAGCAGTGGGGACCTGTTCTCTGGCCTCCGTGTAAGTCAGGTTTTTCTTGGTCATCAACTTTTTAATTTTCAGCTGGCGTTTCTGTTCGGGGCATGTTGCATCCGTTGAGTCGTGATCCGAGCTACGGCAATGAACACATTTGCGTTGGTTTT